TTATATGCCATGTCACAGGATATTTTATTAAAACTTCCAGAAAGATCAATACAGTAATCAGTTATGAAGTGCATAAGCTTTATTTCTAGATTTTTTGGATATTACTAGTATGATATAGACTCACTTTTTAGATGCTGCTTTGTGACCAAAGAAGGCATGAGCTAATGTCATTATATAATAGAAAAGCGGATGCTAAAAGAGATTAGATTGCTCAAATTGTACTGAAGAGCACTTATACCATACGTTCTGAAAGAAGCAGTTTGAATTTAAGAAACACCTCTTCCAATAAAGGAAGATAAAGAGAAAAATACTTATCTGCTACACTGCATATTCTTAGCAAATCTAAGTCTATCCTATCAAGGGGATCCCAGTTCCCTATAGTTTCTTTTCAGATAAATACACTTTGAAGTAAATTTATTTGATTTTTATTGATGTGGAAAAATAAAGAATTAGCACTGCACTTAGTCAAAAAAAAAATTAGATGAACCAGCTGCATTTCAGGTTCATGTAGAAAATGCAATCAATTCTACTAAGTTCACATTTCATTTTGTATCATTTGGAAAAGCTTAGAGACTGAAAGGGGTAATATGATGATATCTTCATGTCATTAATTGGGGGTGGTGGTGATGAAAATGTTCCTTTGGGGAAAGAGATTTTTATAATCCAAACAGCATTAAGCCAATCAGAAAATTTAATTTAATATCCTTGTTTGATTTTTCAGAGGAAATTGGCAAGGTAGAATTCCTACCATTTTGGAGTTGCAATACTGGATGGGAATCCTGGGATTCAGAAAAGTGTGGAGGGAGAGATAGAACATTTAGTTTGGGGCACAGTGTGCCAGTTGGCAATTTGGATGTTGGTTGTGGAGTTTTACACCACTATAGTTTTAATACTTCTTTGCACTAACAGAAAGCAAAATTGATATCTTATAATAAATGCAAGGGATTGAAATGCAGAAAGGGATTTTTAAACCAGTTTCATTTTCAGGTGCATTAGCACCTGAGGTTTGCAATAAAGAAAATCTCCAAATGTGCCAAGTTATTTTAGAGTTAAGATTATATTAATATAATGAGACATTAATCTTCTTTAGTTCAATTATCATTAGACTTTTCATTTTATATGTGAAAAAGTTGACGGGCCAAAAATACCCATTTGCAATCAAGGGAACACTTTTTCCCCGGGAAGCAGATTTTGATGGGTTTTTCAAATGTCAATCCTTTCCCCTACTCGCTCCAGAATGACCAATGGGAAGGACTGATGGAAGTTGAAATTCAATAGTATCTAAAAAGTCAGAGGTTTCATGCTGTGCTACAATTTCTGTCAGATGCTTTAAATCCAGGGTGGGATTCAAATTTTTTAACAACCGGTTCTGTAGACGTGGCTAGGTGGGCGTGGCTTCTTTTTTGCAGCAACCCATTTTTTTGCCTCCTAGGCCTCAGTCAAGCTTCCTGGGGGGGGGGGCGTTTTTGCTCCCAGAAGGCTTCCCTGGGGCCCAGGAAGGCAAAAAGAGGAGCTTGGAGGTGCACAGCACCCCACCCCTACTCCCACATGCCCCTTTTTGCTTCCTGGGCCTCGAGGAAACCTCCTGGGTGAAGCAGTAAGACAGCGAGGGGGATGTTCAATGAAAATTCCAGGACTTTTAAAAATCAATTTTCAGATAAATACAACGCTTCAACAAACTGTAGCACAGGATTACTGAAATTGGACATTTAAAAAATATTTTAAAAATTTAAACAAAAACACCTTTGTCAAAAAAAAAAGTACTGTATGTTGGTACCCGGATGTGGGAAGCCCCCACTCTAGATAATGAAATATTTGGAGAATATTAAAAGAGGCAGAATATTATATTTCCCTGAAGGAAAAATGGAGAAACATGTTATTGAAGGCAGAAAACAGCCCCCGTCTTCCGGCCATAGGAAAACAGCCTCAAGAAGGAGAGACTAGTCTTTTGGAATGGAGATTATGTATCCATTCTATTTATAAACAAAACCCCTTAATCACAAGCTCCCACAGAAAGCTGGAGCTAATGGGATTTTAAAAAAATTCTAGAAAAAGACTCTTAAAATTGTACATTCCCCCATCCAAATTCTAAGGACAGGACATTACTTTTAGGACATAATAGGATTTACCCATCACCACTAGAATAGCAAAAGACACAAGGCTCACTACATTGTACAACCTCCTGGAGCATCTCAATTACCAAACCCCAGACTTATAAATATCTACCCACTGATATTTCTTCCCCCCTGACGATCAGCTGTTCTGATGATCAGCTGTGCCGGAATCCCCCTCTCTTACAGCTTTGCCCAGAAGTTTCCCTGGGGCCCAGGAGGCAAAAAAATGTAGCACGGGATGGTGGTGGTGCACGCACCCCGTGCTCTGTTTTTGGCCTCTTGGGCTTCAAGGAAGCCTCCTGGGAGCAAAAATGGCCTCCCAGAAGGCTTCCCTGAGGCCCAGGAGACAAAACAAAAAACAAAAAAACAGCATGGGATGGGGTGTGCTGCAAAAAAATAAAAGCCATGTCCACCCAGTCACATGGTCATGCTCACCTAGCCATGCCCACAGAACCGGTAGCAAAAATACACTGCTCAAAAAAATAAAGGGAACACAAAAATAAGACATCCTAGATCTGAATGAATGAAATATTCTGATTAAATACTTTGTTCATTACATAGTTGAATGTGCTGACAACAAAATCACACAAAAATTATCAATGGAAATCAAATTTAGCAACCCATGGAGGTCTGGATTTGGAGTTACACTCAAAATTAAAGTGGAAAAAAACACTACAGGCTGATCCAACTTTGATGTAATGTCCTTAAAACAAGTAAAAATGAGGGTCAGTAGTGTGTGTGGCCTCCATGTGCCTGTATGACCTCCCTACAATGCCTGGGCATGCTCCTGATGAGGTGGTGGATGGTCTCCTGAGGGATCTCCTCCCACACCTGGACTAAAGCATCCCCCAACTCCTGGGCAGTCTGTTGGTGGATGGAGTGAGACATGATGTCCTAGATTTGCTCAATTGGATTCAGGTCTGGGGAACAGGCGGGCCAGTCCATAGCATCAATGCCTTTGTCTTGCAGGAACTGCTGACACACTCCAGCCACATGAGGTCTAGCATTGTCTTGCATTAGGAGGAACCCAGGGCCAACTGCACCAGCATATGGTCTCACAAGGGTTCTGAGGATCTCATCTCAGTACCTAATGGCAGTCAGGCTACCTCTGGCGAGCGCATGGAGGGCTGTGCGCCACCCCCGCCCCACCCCCAAAAATGCCACCCCACACCATTACTGATCCACTGCCAAACCGGTCACGCTGGAGGATGTTGCAGGCAACAGAACGTTCTCCATGGCGTCTCCAGACCCTGTCACCTCTGTCACATGTGCTCAGTGTGAACCTGCTTTCATCTGTGAAGAGCACAGGGCACCAGTGTCAAATTTGTCAATCCTGGTGTTCGCTGGAAAATGCCAAACATCCTGCACGGTGTTGGGCTGTAAGCACAACTCCCACCTGTGGACGTTGGGCCCTCATACCACCCTCATGGAGTCTGTTTCTGACTGTTTGAGCAGCCACATGCACATTTGTGGCCTGCTGGCGGTCATTTTGCAGGGCTTTGGCAGTGCTCCTCCTGTCCCTCCTTGCACAAAGGCAGAGGTAGAGGTCCTGATGCCGGGTTGTTGCCCTTCTACAGCCTCCTCAACGTCTCCTGATGTACTGGCCTGTCTCTTGGTAGTGCCTCCATGCTCTGGACACTACGCTTACAGACACAGCAAACCTTCTTGCCACAGCTCACATTGATGTGCCATCCTGGATGAGCTGCACTACCTGAGCCACTTGTGTGGGTTGTAGACTCCATCTCATGCTACCACTAGAGTGAAAGCACCACTAGCGTTCAAAAGTGACCAAACCATCAGCCAGAAAGCATAGGAACTGAGAAGTGGTCTGTGGTCACCACCTGCAGAACCACTCCTTTATTGGGGATGTCTTGCTAACTGCCTATGCTTTCCACCTCTTGTCTATTCCATTTGCACAACAAGCATGTGAAATTGATAGTCAATAAGTGTTGCTACCTAAGTGGACAGTTTGATTTCACAGAAGTGTGATTGACTTGGGGTTACATTGTGTTGTTTAAGTGTTCCCTTTATTTTTTTGAGCAGTGTATTTCCATCCCACCCCTGGGCCTGTCACAGAGAAAAAGATATCGACTTATTGCATAAGTTTGAATACGTTCTTAACCTGGGGATTACCTGTATAAAAATGTTTTAGGCTTTTGGCAATGGAGAGAAAAAAGCTATAATGTTATGGAACTATAATGTTCAGTCATGTTGTTGAACACTGGCTTCATTATGAGTACTTGTGGTGTAAATCAGGGGTCTCCAGCTTTGGCAACTTTAAGACTTGTGGACTTCAACTCCCAGAGTTCCTCAGGAACTCTGGGAGTTGAAGTCTTAAAGTAGCCAAGGTTGGAGACCCCTTGTGTAAATGACTTCTGCTAGTGTAAAAACAATTTAAAAATCCTGGATTTCAGCATAGCAAAACTAGCAGAAAGAGTAGGTCCTTGTCCATTTTTAAAACGTCTATGTCATGAAACATAATTTGAGCCTTGAGTAATATTGGTAACACAAGTCAATTAATCCAAGACTTTTGAAAGCAAGGCTATTTCTTTGAGAAATTTTGCTGGAAACGGAGCAAAAAATATTTACAACGGTTTAAAAACTGCATTTAAACATACCTTTTTCAAACGAAAGGGAAAAAATGAATGAGGGGTTTGTTTGTTTTTTGGCTTTCAATAGTTGTGTTGATTAGGTCGCTTCATTTTCGATCCCGGAAAGGAAAAAACAAAGGGAACTTGGAAGTTTCGTCCCCAGTCTTTCTACTAGATCTATCTCTATAACAACAGTACCTGTTCAACCAAAGATAGGCGGCTTCCCGCTTTCCCGTTTTTGAGGAGCCTATTTTATAGAACGCGATGACGACACAGTGGGCGTGGTGTAGATTCCGAACTACAAGGAAGCAGTAAGCTGTGCCAGGCCGGCTCAGCGGTTCATAGTGGAGTTAACCGTTGGTGAGGAGTCCTACTGCGAGCGCCAGGTCTCCGAAGTAGCAAGGCACTTTCAGTTTTGGCCACTACTGCGCTGCTGGTTCTACTCGCTGAAGTTTGAAGTCGGGTCATCTACGGGCGCGGGCCTTGCCAATCCAGTGCAATGGAGAGCGGCGGGAACGCGTCCGGGTCCGTGCGCGGAGCCGGTCGAGAAAAGAAGAAAGGCAAGAATGCTGACGAGCCTTCGGTGGCTGCGGTAGCAGGAGAGCCAGGTGGAAGCGGCGGCGGCGGGAAACCGCGGAAATTCGTAAGTAGTCTAGAGAGAGAGGGAGGCCACCTGCCTTGCAGAGGCATCCCCCTTGCAGAGGGATTTGGGTAGTCCTTAGGCGGAGCTGTCCTACCTACCTTTTCTTTGGTTCCCTGCGCTGGTAGATTGGAAGCTTGGCCTTGCATACGGGTGCAGACATTGTCCCATCAGTTTCTTGACGGAGCGAAGCAGGAAGTTTCCTTTCCTCATGGGTCCGTCCAATAGCGGAGTCTGAATTCTGGCTGCCTGGATATGATTCAGGCCTCGGTTCACGCCTTGCCTCACCAACTCTTGGAAAGTTCTCCGCGTTTGTAGGGTTCTTGGGCTGTTTCTTGATTAACTTTAAGCCGAATCTTCACTTGATTTTTTTTATGGCGTGTAACATTTGTAATTTGCACCGTTCAATTTTGTTTTAAACTCAGGTATATCATGCCTGGATTAAGATCCATTGCAAAAGTAAACATACATAACAGGTTGTGACCTTTATTCGCATTTTTAGCCAGCAGTAAATTCTCCTTCCAGAGTGCTCTGAAGCTGTTCTTAGAGTACTTTTGAAGGGATCAGGGCAGATTAGAATATAAGAGTTTAGTCAGGCAAGATCCAGTTTAATTCAGCATTTGGTTTCCAATAGGAGCCAGCCAGATGCCTCTAGTTCCTCCAAGAAAGATGCTGAAAAATACCTTTCCCTTGCAACATATATTTGGAAGCAAATTATCTTCAGCCTGAAAATAACTCTTTGATTCCTCTTTAATAAAGTTGGCCTTGTTGAATCATGCAATCCTTTTTAAAAGCTGTCCAAGTTAAGGATCATCATATATCTTGAGGAAATGAATTTCACAACTATCTGTTCCATGTTTTCTAATTAGCTTCACTGATCAACTTGTCTTAGTGTTTATTGTTTATTAAATTTGTATTCTGCCTTTATTTTGTGCAACTCAGGGTTGTGTCTATAATGCTCCCTTCCAATTACAATCCTGTGAGATGGGTTGAGCGAGAGATAGCAATTGAATTAAAACCACCCAGCTTCCTTCTGCACCTCATAGAATCTACAACTCATAATCTCCCAGTTTCTAGTCCAACTCTAACTGGTATGACAGGTTGCCTTTCTGGGTGGCAGGGGAATTCACCATGTTCACTTTTTAATGTCATGAATAGTTTAATATAACTCATTCATGTCTCCTCAGTTGCTGTTTTCTTGCACCTCAGATCCTGTTTCCTTGCCTTTTTTTGAAGGGACGTTTGGAGTCCTCTGATCATTTTGGTTGCAATCTTTTGCAGCTGAATTATATTGTTCAAATGTAACCATTTGAGTTAACCATTTTAATTTCATTGAGATGTAGATATACCATACATTTGTATAAGATGCTTTATTTTTCAATGCATTCAATGCATTTCTAAAGTTCTCCAGTATAGAATAGTTTTCACAGCTGATGAACACCAAGCTGATATTTTCATTGTCCTATTGCTCTGATTTCCAGTTCTTTTTTCCAGTTACTGTATTTTTCAGTGTATAAGATGCAGTTCCCACTCCCAAAAGCGGGTAGAAATGTCTGTGTGTCTTATACAGCAAATGGTGCTGAAGCCCCGCCTACCCACTGGACCCCACCCTTCGGCCTCTGCCTCCTAGCAATTGCCCCTTGCAGCAAACAGCCTGGCCAGCTTCAGCACAGCCTGATTTGGCACAAGCAGCAGATGGTTGGTTGGATCAACCTGCCAACTGTCAGCTGTTTTCAGCCTCCACTGCTCCATTTTTGGCCTGTTCTGATCCCTGCACCTGGAATAGGCTGAAAATGGGGCGCACAGAGGCAGCAGTAGGTGATGGCAATCCCTGCAACTTGAAACAGCTGATTGTCAGGAGGCTGATCCAACCCACAGTCAGCTGCTTGTGCTAATCAGGCTGTGCTGAAACTAAAACGGGCTGTTTACTGTCAGGAGGTAAATTGCTGGGAGACAGAACTTTGTTTCTAGATGTTTGCAGATCTGTTTTTTGATTATCTTTTCCAGGATCTTCCCAGATATTGATGTTAGACTGATTGGTCTGTAGTTTCCTGGGTCTATTTTTTTCTTTCTTGAAAATAAAACCACATCAGCCCCTTTCCAATCCTCAGGTACTTCCCCATTGCTCCAGGATTTTCAAAAGATATGGTACAATGGTTCCGAGATAAAATCTGCCAGCTCCTTCAGAACTCTGGAATGTAATCTGTCAGATCTCAATGATTTATATTTATCAAGGTCAGATAGATGTTGTCTTACCATTCTCTTGCTTATTTTAATTTTTATTTCTAGTCTATCTTTTACAGAAGTTGTTTTTGGGTAGGTTGGGCTTCTTTTGGGTTTCTTTTTACTTGAAGACTAATGCAAAGAATGACTTACGTAGCTCTGCTTTCTCTCTGCTGCCTATTACTTCCTTGCCATCTTCTCTCTTTAGTGGACTGTTTCCTTGACTTTTTTCTTATTATTATGTTGAAAGAAACTTTTTAAAATTATTTTTGACTTTTGTTGTAAGTCTTTGTTCATTCTGAGCCTTTGCTTTCCTGACCTTCATCTTTGTAGGTTCTGCCTATCTGCTGAGGTGTCCCTCTTTCAATTTTTTTGTACTTGTCCTTTTTGTCTTTCAGTTTATCAGAGAGATCTTTGTGCAGCCAAGTTGGTTCCTTCTTGAATTTCTTGTTCTTCTTTTTCAGTGGTATTGTGCTGGACTGGGCTTTTATGATCACATTTTTCAGAGTTTCCTACGCATTGTGAGTTCTTTTCCCCTTTAGGATTTTCATCCATGGAATCTTTCCTAGGCTGTCTCGGAGTTTGTTAAAATCAGCTAAAACTTTCACCCAAAGTTCTGGCAACTTCAAGTCCCTCTATCATTTCTTCTCTATTAGTAAGAGTTAGGTCCATTATAGTTTTTCTCTAGTTTCTCCTCTAACCTTTTGGATGACAGAGTTGTCAGCTAGGTTGGTTAGGAACCTATTCGATCTTCCACTTGGTGCAGTTTGCCTCCCAGTTGATATTAGTGGGGTTAAAGTCTCCCATTATTACAATGGTATGTTTCCTACATAGAGATGTAAAATTTCCAAAAATTTTGAAGCCATGAGAAAACAAACATTTTCCCCTGTCCCCCCCCCCCCATAGAAATTTTGGAAAAACTGGAAAAAAAGAGTTCAGTGTGGAATAGTTTTACAAATGGTGTGAAATGCGATTTATATAAAAGTATTATGCTTGCAATAAAATACGAAACACCCCTTTCCGCTCAAAAGCAACAAAAAAAAAATCAAGAAACCAACATAAAAAATAATAAGATTTGCCTATTAGCACCAATAGCAAATAAAGTTAGGGTCCACCTCAATATTTAAGGTTTACCTTTTGAGTGGTGCTTTTACCTTTTGGATGACAAAGTTGTCAGCTAGACTGGTTAGGAATCTGTTTGATCTCCCACTTGCTGCAGAGTTTGTCTCCTAGGTGATATCTGGGTAGTTAAAGACTCCCATTAGTCCCCTGAAAAAATGGCTAGGCTGTCTTTTCAAGGGGTGTCTTTAATTTCCTCCCCACACGCCTCATCTCTCTACTGAGCTGCTTCTTTAGCAGCTGAAAGGAGCACCCCACACGCACCCTTGCCTCTCCACTGGGCCGCTTCTTTAGGGCCGAAAGGAGCACCCCACGTGCACCCTTGTCTCTCCACAGGGCCGCTTCTGTAGTGGCCGAAAGGAGCTATTCCTCAAGCTTAGCACAGACTGAGAGAAGAATGGCAGGCAGGAAAATTCCCCCTCCCCCTTTTCCTCTCCTTCACAAAAGAAGCCCGCATTCTGAAACTTCAGCGTTCGGAATGGAGGCTTTTGGGCGAGCAGCAGGAAAATGGAGAGTGGAATTTTCTTGCCTGTCATCCATTCCTCAAACTCCCTCTCTCCTTCCCCATTTTCCTGTCTTTTGCAAAAACAGCTCCACTCCAAGCTTTTAGCATATCCCAGGACCCTGCAAGGCTTGTTGTAGCATTGCGTGTACGAGCGGCGGCATTGCTGTGAGGTTCGTTACATTGGTGCAGCCTCTTTGAGCAGGACCCTGCAAGGATTGCTGTGCTGTTGCGCGTAGTTTAGATATGCTGGCGCAGCTACTCATGGTAGGATGCCAGCTGCACCGGTGTTATGAAGCTCACAGAGGTGCTGCCATTCATGAGTGCAATGCCACAAGCCTTGCAGGGTCCTGCTCCAAGAGGAGTGGATAACAGGCAGGAAAATTATCCTCCCCATTTTCCTGCCTTTCACGAAAATGGGGAGGAGAATTTTCCTGCCTTTCACGAAAACTGCTCTACTCCAAGCCTTCAGCGTATCCCAGGATTGCAACTCTGAAGGCTCCATTCCAAACCTTCAGAGTTGCAATCCTGGGATTTGCTGAAAGCTCAGAATGCCTCTGCTTCAGTGCAGAATGACTTTCACCCCTCTCTGCAGCCGGAGGTTCCCCCCCCCCATGTCTGTGCCGCCATTTGTGCCAGCCATACCTACCCCCTGGGCTTATTTTGGGGTTAGGGTAATATCAGGCCCACCTGCCAAAAATTAGGATTGGGCTTATTATTGGGGTGGGTCGTGTTTTCTGAGAAATAGGGTAGTTCCCTCACCTGTTTGTTGTATGGTTTAGCCTCCGGACCCACTATCATCACTGTTGCTCTTCTCTGTACTCTTTCTAAGGTCTCAGCATCTTTTTTGTATCATAGTGACCAGAATTGGATGCAGTATTCCAAGTGTGTGGTCTTACCGGTGCAGTATAAAGCTGCACTATCACTTCTTGGAATCTAGATGCTATCCACTCTGTTCATGCAGCCTAGAACTACATTTATTTATTTTTTTGGCAGTTTTAGCACCCAGCTGGCTCATACTTAATTTATATATATTTTTAATTAGGTTACAAGATAAGATACAAAATACAAAAGCAGATAGGAAAACAGTGGGAAGAAAGAAGGAAAGAGAAGCAAGGAAGGGCTAGAAAAAAGAAAAAAAAGTTGTGATTTCTGACTC